TCTAACATGGAACAACTAATGTGCATTCTCTTCAACTCCAGTAGTTTCATCAACTTTCAATCCGTCACTCACACTCACCACCTTCTGGAAATCTTTAGGAATGCTTGATCGATTTCTGATGACTGCACTGAGTGGGTAGAACTCTCCTGGGTGGGGATTGATAAGCCTAGGGATAAGGATACATACTGAGACAGTAAAACAGTGAGCAGATAGCAAGTTGGAGCAGAATACAGTCAAGTTAAGTACTCAGTTTTGAAAACGGGGTTGGAATTAGAGTCATGGTGGATGTCCTTATTTGACAGACGTTCATAAGATATTTACATTTATACCACACGTTGCCTATCTTCTTCCTCTTCTCATACAACCTACCAACCCATCTCTCAGGTTGCCATGGTTATCCTGCATCCAGATATTAGCATGCCTGGCTGGATTTCTCCTAGTCCTCACCAGGACCATCAACGTAGCCTACACAATGACCCATCAACATTTACTCTTGCCTCTCCACAACCCACCTTTGCACAGTGACCAAGCTAGGGTTTCTGAAATGCCTATGTGGCAATACCATCTCTCCCATGAAAGCTTTGATGGTTTTTCGTCCTTCTTGTGACCAACTACACAGTCCGCACTCAGACCTACCATGCTGTCCCCTATGCGAGTTTCACCTCACCAACTTTGCTTGGCTCCTGCTTGTTCATTGGGCCTCCGTTGACATGCAGATTTCCTTGGAAGACTCTCTGTCTAAGGAATGATAATTGTTTTGGTATCCAGGCATGGCTTGTTTAATTTGCTTAATGTATTTTTCTCCTCTACCAGACAAAACCCAGAAGCCCCATTAGCCACTCACAACCGGAACCTTCTGGAGCTCAGACTTGCTCAGTAAACAATCACCTAGTGAACTTCTGGGCTATGCATTTTTTTTTTTGCATCTACACTATAAATCACAATTTCTCCAATTCTAGGGATCATGTGTTGTGATTGTACTTCTTGATAGGCACTGCTTGTGTAGAGGGCTAAGCCGTTGGGTTCCATGGCTTAAAATTAGGGCTCTGAGCCAGAATTCATGGGGTTTGAGATCTTACTGGTTGAGAACCACATGTTCTACAACACAGAGGGATGGATGGCGGCACCTACATTACAGGGCTGTTGTGCCTTTATGGAGGTCTTGACACGCAAAAAGCCAACAGTGCTATCCCCAGTGCATAGTCGATGCTGGATGCATAGGATAGACTTCCTTCCCCAATAACACGTTCAAATGAGTCCTTCATATCACTTTTTGGGCAAACAAAACAAAAAAATACTAAAACTAAAAAGGAAGAAAGAAATGAATGTTTTAGTTGTTTTGAGAGTTGTGTTTTAAAAAAACATTATGGCTTGGCAAGAGAAAGACAATAAGCAAAAGAGAAGATGGAAGGTTCAAAGTAGTTCCAGACCGGACATTCGACCAACCCTTCAGCACTTTAAAATGGTAGAACTCTGTATGTCCACATGTAACCCAGAGGTCCATGGAGACTCACTGTCCACAGAACCCCAAGAGGACAATAAGTCTATCCCATGGAGCTGGAGATCAGGAGCCATCTTCTCTAGGATCCCACAGGAAGTAAGAACAACACCCTGATAGCTTGTTCAGGCTTCTCAGGTATACTGCAAGCGTCTCCAAAGTATCATCATGTCCTCAAAACAAATATATACGATTAAGAAAGAAACCCTGAAGGTCATATATCCCATGTGTGAGGAACTGAATGCCAAGGGAAATCAAACCAACCACCAACCAACCAACCAATCAACCAACCAACCAACCATCAAAATGTTGAGTCACTGGAGCAGAATCTCTTCTCAGAGAGAAATGAGTCCTATCTCTGACCTTTCAGAAGATATCTGCTAGAGACAGATGCTATGCTGTAACTTAGAAATGACTCAAAAGTCCATCTTCAGGAAAGTAGACATGTAAATTGTGGTGTAGTCCCAGTTTGAAGTACCAGGCAGCAATGAGATGGGAATGAAGTGAGCACACACTCAACTCTGGGAAGGAATCTTACAAATGTCAAAGCTGAGAAACCCCCGAGCAGATAAACAAAAGCCAACTTCATACTTTATGCAACTTCAAAATCAGGCATGCACACCTGTTGTTAGACACATGCAGTCAGAGGAGCACGAAAGCTCTGCTTCTGGCTATGAACACTGATCACTCAGATTTCTGGAGTTTTCTCTGGCCAGTACATTAAGCATTTGATATACTTTTTCTAATGTACATTCTGTTTTAATACTGGCTCCCCACCTCCAGATCTGGGACCAAATTACTACTGGGTTGAACAGAGAGCCCTGGAGTTCTTGTCACTATAGCTAGAGATGCCCAAGTTGGGATGGTTTAGAATTGGGAAGCTGCGATGAGCTGTGCGCACATGGGGAGAGAGCAAGCTGGGTCTGATGTTGGGTTGCTAGGTTACTACTTGGGTCCCATCATTATTTCTCTCCCAGGATGATGGGCCTGCAACCCTTTCTGGCCAGGTCCAATGCCCTCTATAATGAGCCATACTATGCAGAGATTATGGAGGGAGTCTATCCCCAAGTTACATCCGGGCCACACACGCGTCTTCACATTGGCTCGGCAATGTGCCGGTCCCCTTCTCCCTCAGTAGGATTCGGAACAGCCTCCAGGAGCTCAGTAGAGTTTAGGGCTTGGCTCAGATCTCTCTCAGGAGGCCTAGTGGGAGGGACCGAGGGATTTTCAGTTTCTGACACCCAGTGGGTGATGGGATAAGAATCATAGGTAACTTTCTATATGACTGACAGTGCAGGGAAAGAGGAAGAAGTCTTTCTGTAGCTCTAGCAGTCAGGTTACAGTCAGATGCCTGCATGGAGCAAACTCAGGGAGCCCTGAGTGCAACCCTAAAGCCCAATAGAGGCTGATGGCTGGAACCAAAGCCTGGCACACTGAGTGGACTTGTCCCCATTCATACTCTTTTGGGTGGGTCAGTTCTCTTTGAGAAAACAATCTGGTCCAACGTGACTGTCCCCACATGCTGAAGACTTGAAAGGGAAATCTCTTGGATTGAGACTGGACTCCTGGGGCTGGCCTGGCTTGGCCTGAGGCTGCAAGAAGAATAACAAATAGGAAGGGCCATGGTTGTGATTGGTTCTTTAGGTGATGAAGGTTTCTTGGCTTCAGGGACTCTTGTCCATCCCCATCCCTCTGTTCTTGTGATGACAGATGCCCACCCTCTCCCTGTGGCTCCCCATTCACCTCTCTCTCACGACTCACCTAGTATGGTAGACTTCCATGCTATGAAGCTTCCTCCCAGGTTGGCCCATGTTCCTCCCCTCTGAAGGCCTCTGCTATTCTGGCCACTTCCCTTCTCTAGTGTCCTTCTCTGGCTTTCCTGACTTTCCAGTTTCCTTCTCCTTCCCTGCCTGCAGAGGCAGGATGGAAGGTAAGCCCGCAGAAGGCAAGAACACAGAACAGGACCCAGGAGGCAGATGAGTGCTTGCTTTGCACTGCTTTGTGTGAGTTTGGCTGAAGGGCAGAGCTAGTTTTGCTGGCTGTTGGTGCTCTCACCTATGGGGACAGGACCACTCGTGGCAGAAGTCTCGATGCCAGAGTTGGATGCATGTCAGATGTCAAGAATGAAGCCCACCCAGTTCTTATAAACATTCAGAGCAGCCTTCTTACGTGGCGTCTCTGGTCTTGCATATGTTCAGATAGACAGGCATACAGGCAAGCAGATAGACGGTGATGAAGATCCACTCAGAAAATGTGGGACAAGCACTCAATGTTGTAGACCATAGTGCCCAGTTAAAGCATAGAATGGATTCTGAGCCAAGCCTCACTTTCTGTGAACCCACCCTTCCCATGGCAGTCCATGAAGTATGGTCTCCACTCCATTTTTTTCACTGTCAAATAAATCAAGGAAGCAGCTTATGGCCAATGTTTCTTGTGTCACCACAAAGAACCACACAACTGCTGGTTCCTGTTTGTGGTGACAATGGTCTTAACTGAATGAATGGAGGGCACAAGACTCACAAAGCTAATTAGAAGATTTGGCCTCATCTCTCTCTGTCACTGCAGCACTGCTCACAGAGCCCAGGCCTGACCCCTGAGCCCCAGCTCCCTCTGTCAGTGCATGTATCCCTCACAGAGCCCAGGCCTGACCACTGAGCCCTAGCTCCTTCTGTAAGTACAGCATTGCTCACAGAGGCCAGGCCTGCCCACAAAGCCCCAGTTCCATCTTCAGTAAACAGTACTCACTCCATTTTTCTGCTCCTATTAACAGCTTTCCCCTCCTCTTCCAAAAACACAGAGATTGATTTATCCAAGACCTCAGCTGTTTCACAGTATTTTCAAAACAAATTAGCACCCTCCTTCCAGTGCTCCAGAGGTGACTACAGCCAAGAAGGACAGGACAGTGTAAACAACAGTCGGAATTAACCATGGCTGGCAACACCACGCTAAGTGGCTTCTTTTCCTTTTTCGTCCATCAGCAAAGATGGAACTGGACTTGGCCCAGTGCACAGAGCTCAGTGGGCACTGCATAAATCTGCTGTTTGATTGTGAGGAACTTGAAGGACCTAGAGCCAGCCAAGGAACTGGAGCAATGCTGGTGTTTCAAAGCAGCTAGGAAAAGTCAAAAAGGCCTGAGTGGTCAGCCACTGTGCCCTTTGGTAAAGGCTGCAGGTTCCCTCTTGGTTAGCACAGCAGCCCAAACTTTCCCCAGCTGAGAGTCAGAGTTGACACGACATGATTTGTTCCTTTTGGGCTGTGTCAGTTCTGCAAGCCAGATACCAGAGGCTGTGACCAGGAGAGCCTGCGTTTGTTTGGACAGGACAGGACCACTCAGGAGTTTTCATGTCACGAAAGCTGCCAGGGCAGAGGGCCTATTTGAGGAATTCATTTTTGTAAAGATTTTCTTTCTTTCTTCCCCCTCCCCTTCCAACATTTTGTTTAAGAGAAAATGAGATGTCTATCTTCTGTTTCCTTATTTTTTTTTCAGGAAAGCGAAGGGTTGTTGACTTCCGCCCTCTCCCCTCCCTTCCTTCCTTCTTCCCGAAGGTACTCATCTGAGAAAAAGAGAACGGAGTATTGTTCCTGTTCTCCTTCTTAAGTCATTTGAAACACTGTCCCTGCGAGTTCTTTAAGTTCCCTGCAATCGGTACACAAGAGAAAGAGGGAGAGAGAGACAGGGAAAGACAGAGACAACGAGAGACCAGGTAAAGCAGTGGGGCTGCTGCCTCTCAGCCTCAGGAGCTGGTAAGTGACCATGTACTCCTTTCTACCTTCACTTCAATGTCCTTGCAGTGGAGGCTGACCTGGAATCTTCCACAGAAACCACCTCCCTGGTCTGCTCTTTAATCAAAAGGTGTGACTGATGGCTGGCCTAGAGTGTACGCTCATGCCTCTTTGCAGAAGAGAATACTAATACTTTGTAGAGCTTGGCAGAAGTGGAGATGGAATTGTGTTGGGGCTGAGGAAGTCGCTGTGTTAAATCGGAATTGCTTTGTCAGAGGCAACTTGGGTTAACTGGGAACCATTGGGACATGTGGTATGCCCCACTGGAGTGGGTCACAGCTCCCAGGACTGCATCCTGGGAAACCTCTTGGAGTGTCTGTTGAGAACTATGATTCACCCAGGGGTTTTGGTATATTGTCTGACTTGAGGTGTCTTTCTCCTGATTTTTTTTCTCTCCATTCTGTAGTTCACCTCCCCAAAGAGAACTGTTCATGTATGACTGTTGCTCTGTCCCCGAGGTAGGAGGGAGAGGAAGGGAATACCTCTTTGAAATAGTGCTGCGTGTGGGAGGTTCAGGAGATAGGTGCCCCATGTGGGTTAAATGTAAATGTACCATCCACTGTCAATGCAGGGTGTCATGTGTCACACAAAGGAAGACAGGGATTTGAGGGCATATAACTTCAGTTTTGGCAATTAGTGTGCTACCGGAGTGAGAGGATTTAGAGTGATTGCTTGTGTCAGGAAGAATGAAAAGCTAAGCCACGGATGCAATTGAAAAATAGTCACCCAGAGCCTGCTTTTCTAAAGCACCAAATAGAACACAGCAAGGTAGTCGGGCTTATATATGCATGCACTGTGCCACCAGCGGTTGAATGTCTAAGATGCTTCCATTGCGTTTGTCAGAGAGGATAATATTACCAAGAACTTATTATGGCAAGCCAAGAGGGAGCCGGCATCACACTGTCAAAAATAGGTTAGCAAGGTCAAGCCAAGACTGGGGCATGGCTGCTATTAATAATTTAATCCAGTGAGGTGCTGGATGGGTAGAAGGCAGAGACTATTCGTACTTCTCAAACCATCCATTCCTATGGTATATACGAGTTGAAATCCTCAGGGTATGAGCAGCATAATAAAAGTAATTTGACGTTTTAAAATTAATTCGGCCAGATTATGTTTTAACCACAATTGAGTAATTAATCTTTATTTGGAACTGAGCTGTCACCGTAATGAGGATGAGACAGTCTCGTAGAACTGGATGGTTAATGGTAGGGTTTGTTCTGTTAACAGATGAATTTTTTTTTTTAAGAGACTTTCTCTAGAATCTCTATAAAACAAGCTACATGAAAGAAACAGGATCAGCAGTTGCCCCTTAAGGATGCAAATGAGAGTGTAACAATAGTGGCCAGCGGCGCCCAGCTCTCCCAGGGGTACCCAGCTCTCCCCACGGCGCCCAGCTCTCCCAGCGGTGCCTAGCTCTCCCCACGGTGCCCAGCTCTCCCCACGGTGCCCAGCTCTCCCCGCGGTGCCCAGCTCTCCCAGTGGTGCCCAGCTCTCCCAATGGCGCCCAGCTCTCCCCGCGGTGCCCAGCTCTCCCCGTGGTGCCCAGCTCTCCCAGCAGTGCCCAGCTCCCCCAGGGGTACCCAGCTCTCCCCACGGTGCCCAGCTCTCCCAGTGGTGCCCAGCTCTCCCACACCTGCCCCAGCCACCACATGCTCATGCATCTCAGGGCAGCAGCTTCCAGGGCATTTTGCGTTAGTATTCACCAATTGCGACCCCAGTAGAATTGCGGGACAGAACGCAATCCTGCCTGGCTCCTTTCGGTTTCATTTCTCCTGATATTATGAATGCCATGTCAGATGGGATGCAATGGGGAGACAAACAGCTTCAGGGCTACTCTATTTAAAGACAAGTCAGGCAAATGTGGGGAAGACTATGTTTGCTGTGTTCCTTCCTGGGGGCCAAGACTAAGAAGCTAGGAGTCATTGTCAGGATAGCTCCTGGATACTGTGGGGGTAGGGGTGGGGTTCAGGAAAAACTCCTTCAGCGACATTAGCTTAGGTCACTGCTACTCAATCTATCTTTTTCTCAACTCCAAAGAAAGAGTTGACATGTGTGGAAATTTCCAGAGCGATTCCTCTTTAGGGACATCATAGGCTCCTCTTTGATAGCATGGGAAATTCCAGTTCAGAACGATCCAGAACCTAGTTCATACAATTGTTTACTAATTAATTTTATGCCAAAATGGCACCATTTTAATAATAGCTAAATTATGGTACCAATGGCTAAATTACCAATGTGTCATCTGCATTCCAGGGATGTTAAGGGTTGAACTTAGGGTGTGTGCTAGGTACAAGTTCTTCTCCTAGTCTCTGCCCCATGCTTAGTTAAATACTGTTTAGATCACATCATGGTCTGTACCCCACAGGGCTATGTGTGCATGCATGTCTCAAGTCAGAGCAAGCAGAGTGTGAAGAGGACTGGACACAGAGAAACAAATTGAGCTTGTGTTTCAAATTTGTCATTCACTCATGGAGGGGTTTAGATCAGGTCTCTAACCTAAGTCTGTGTCTCCCAAATGTAAAACTGCTTTAACACAATATGTTCTGAGGATTGAGTGAACTCATGGCTAGGAAGCAGCTAGCCCAATACTCAAGAACTCTCAGGAGTCAGCCAGTTTTGGCTGTGATCTTTTTCAGAGTCATATATTAATACTTAGGTGGCCTGTGTTTGGACAAATTGAGAGACTAAATTCCTGTCGTGTATTTATTCTTGTTTGATACTATACCAAAAATCTCTCAGAAGAGATCATTCTTTATAGTTTTCAAGTTGGGCACACACTGAGTACCCCTATTCCGAGCCTTGAAATCACATGACACAAAAGTCTGGTATTGTTGGACATGCTAATCGTCCATGTCTTGAAGGCAGCTGCACTCCAGCCTTCACTGATGGCAAAGGCTTCCCTTGGGACCAAACTTCTGCACTGAGATGCACGTGGGAAGAGCTGAATGATGCTGCAGACATTTGTACTTCCTTCCACCCACTTCCCCATGTTCACGGTTTTCACTGCGGTGACCTTTTCCCTGGCTATGCAGGACTGCAGACACTCATTCTGAAGATGATGGTGGCCGTGCCACAACTCGGAGGGGGGAGGAGCAAGTGGAAGCGACACAAGGAGCTGCTCCCCCTTCCTAACCATCAGCTGCAAGCTCTCACCCCCAGATTCCTCAGTAGGAAGGTGTCAGCCAGCACTGGGTGTGTGCACTGGGTCCGGGAGGAGGCGCCTGTGAACCAACTGTCGTTTCTCTTTCTCTCTAAGCTTCACCACCAGCAAGTCTGTTAGCTCATCAAGTAAAAATGATACTTTTATTTAGTTCCCAAACTTCCCTCCCTCCACCTTCCAAAAACAAAACAGGCAACACCGAAATGAGCCGGACTCTATTACCCAAAGCCCAAGTTCTTGAGACACTTGCTTTAGAGTAAAGGTTCTGATACAATGGAGACTGATTCAGACACCAACCTAAGAAAAACAATTTTGAGCTGGGCACTCCACACCTCTGTGAAAAAGTGCCTTTCAGTGTGGGGTGGTGATGGAGATAAAGACCAGGTCAGAAGCCAGAATATATATGTGTTCTGATCCAGCCTCTGCCACTCCCTTATCAGATTTCTTTACTAGCTCAGACCTCCGTTTTCTGTGTGGAGATGGCAGGGCTGGATAAGGTCAAAAATGAGAGTAAGTGAGAACCACAGGAGAGGGACCGGCTTCTGTCATTTGTCATACCAGGGTCTAGAACAGCACATAGCATAAAATGATGCAAAACAAATATTTGTTGAATAGTTGAATTATAAACAAATGGGCTGTTCAGTGGAATGAGCTCTCTTTATGTAATGCCAAATGAAGCAATTAATTAGTTAAGGGAGGAAAAAAACAGGTCAAGCTTTGGGCCGAAGGAAGGTCTAGCTAACCTCACACTGCCAGCTTGGCAGTTCTACACTGGAGCAGACTGGAATTCTATGGGTTTTTTCTACTGTAACATAAGGGACCACTGTGCGAGTATTAAAGGGTCTCGATGACAGGTAACCCGTCTACTTGCTCATGGGAGATACATACTTATCGGAGAGATACACCAAGACACCATTGGCTGTGTTTTACATTCCATTCATCTTCTGGGCAGATGATGGGTTAGCAAATTGTTTTTGGCAAGAGAAAGAATGACTGTTTGTTTTCCCTTGACTGTAGAGCTATGAGGCAGGATTCGCCTTGAGAGAATGAGCACAACACTCTTGTGAATATTGAAGGCAAGGCTGTGCATGCAAATTAAAGGAGGTCGTGGCTGGGCGAGCACAGCACACCATGGTGCAAACTCAGGAGAGAAGTGGGAGACCCTTGTTGAATGCGTTTCACTTCGTTAAAACCTGTCAAGATAGGCAAAAAATGGCTGGTTTCAGCCTCACATTTATTTGGCAAATTTAGAGTCGAAAATAGAAATGTTTGACAGTCAGTTGGGATTGGAGGTGATATTCATTACATTTGACAACGGGGCCCAGGGTTTCTACTATTATAGTAGGGCCCGAAAAAATGCTGTCTGTTTGTGTTGATGAACCCTGTGTCCTTAGGACCAGGGCTAACAAGCAAAAGCTGTTCTGGTCCATTCACCTGTTTTCTTTTATAAACCATGGCCCCACGTTGATCTAATTCTCTGTGTCTCTGGGTACCAAGTCAGGGACTGATGTAACCAGAGATCATATTTGTGGCAGAGTCCTGACCAGGTTTCGACGTGCTCAGAGCTTCACGTGCATCACAGCATCCTGCTGTAGGTGGCAGGGGTCTTTCTCTTTCATCTTCAACTTGAGAGTTTCCCCAAAGTGATGTTACTTCCTCATTAAGAAAGGAAGGGCGTCTGTAGCTGACATACAGATTGGCACACTTAAAAGTTGCCACACTCCTTCAGGCAGGACCCTGAAGTGTGGCCCAAGGATCCCAAAAAGGACATCACCTAAAAGCCTGTTAGTAATGTGGACCC